AACACTGCTTGTGCTCCTGATCCCTTAACCAGTCGTCCCAAGGCCCTGAAGTCTCTCTTGATTGCCCTTGGACTTCTTGTTGCAACTTCATCGCTGCCTACCTGAAAAATCAATGATGGATAATAATCTGAGGGCTGTACCAGGGTAGGAAGTTTTCTGTTCACATCTTTAACCTGGGCCCCAGGGAGGGAGCAGACTTCCTAAGAAGTGGGTCCGGTCTGCATATTGGGCCTTCTGTTCCCTTCAGAAGGGAGTCTCCTATGACAGTCACCCATCTTCTTTTCTTTATGGAAGCAGTTCTGACACAGGGCATAGGCCGACTTAACCTCGGCGACACCTCCAAGCTAGATGAACCATCGTCCTCGTTATTGTTCAGTTCTACTTGCGGAGCCTCATACCTATTAGGCAAGGGCACCTGGGAAGGTGGGGGAGTCACAGAGGAGACGTGCCTGCTGCGCCAGACGGGAACTTGTCACCATTGCCCCCGATCCCTTAAGTCGCTGTGTTCAGCCAGGGGGAGAAAGGATAGGGAATCCTCCGTATCATGCCTCCTGTCTGCCTGCTGGGCCTGTCCCGCGGAAGGTAGGGTGCGATTAGAGTAGTCTCTCTCTCTATCGCTCTCCTTGATACTCCAGCCTATTCACCTCCTCCCGGAGCTCTGTCACTAAGCGGAGGAGTTCCTCTCCCTGGTTGCACCTCCCGCGGGTGTGCTCACTGCTGCCGCCCGCTACTGGCGTGAGAGCAGGGCACAGCCCGCAGCCTGACTCCTGGCTGGCAGCATGTTTCCACCGGAGCTCTGTCTGGGAAGCTGCATCAGTCGTGGTGGGTGCAGAGCTTAGAGGGGCCATGGCTTTCTGCCCGGTGGATACCATTGCTCCCTGGTCGAGCTGGCAGAGCTTCAGCGCCCTTCCACGCAAACTGCCGTGCCACGCCCTGGTCGCCAGCGCTCCCTAAGGGCTTCTTTTATACGTGTGGGGGGCTTGGCCGCCGTTGCTCCTGGCCCACCCAGGTCCCGTCAGCTGCTGTTGCATGAGCTGCGGGCTCCTGGCAGCATTATCGGCTCCCCCTGAGGTTCCCCCGGTTTGGGAAACCCCCTGTGCACCACGCTAGAGCGCTCCACTGCCAGTCCTACCGGCACTGGAGCTGCTTGCCTCGGTGACTGAGAATAAGAATATAAGAATAAGATATTGGACATACTGTCCTGACTATGCTAAACTCTAAGCACTGAGCTGTTCTGCAGCAGTAATTTATTCCTCTGCATAGAGATATGTGTCAATCTCTGGTGTCTTCCTAAACTAGAGTTGTGCTCGTGGATTAAAATAAATAGTTGCTGCTCAGAAATGGGGATGCTGCTGAGGTGAGTAAAAGGGAGTTTTACTCTGCCCACAGCTGATGAAATGGGTTTTTAGGAACCTGTGAAAGTTGCTAAATGAGTTATAGTTACATGAATTGAACAGCAAGCCCTTCCCTTACAAAAACATTCTAGATTCTGCAGGTTAGATTTTGTAAGGGTTTCTGAGCGTGGATTTTTTTAGATGCTGTTAGATGCTTTTAGTTATTTTTTCCCCAAGAGCAGTTAGGTGCTTTTGAAAATCGAACTTGGTATGTGTGACTATCAGAAATAATGCTGGGAGGGTGGAATGCACAGCCATTAAACTGAAAGACTTTAATTTGTTTACTCCTGTTAATAAAATCATGGCTGAATTAAACTATTTGTATTGCTGCAGCTAATGTAGTTAACAAGACAAATTTGTTCAGCCTCATCAGTGCAGTGTTCAGAAGCCTGGTAGTGATTAATCATAGTTCATTTTTCCCCCCAACATTCATAAACATTCTCTGAGATTGTGTAGAATTAACATAACTGGGTTGGTTTGTTTGTTTCTCTTTCAGAGGTGCTATGAAACGCGTGGTGAAAGCAATGAACCGAGTGGACCAAAGAAAGCATGAGAAGTTTGCCAACCAGTTTAACTATGCACTGAACTAAATTGTAATAAAATGGAGGGTAAAAATGATTAACAAGAGTGCAACTACACAAAACCTTTATCACAGACCTTCATATTTACACTAAAATACTGTGCTGTGTGCATTTTTACTGGGGTAATTTTTAAAATTTTTTTCAACTTCTAACTTATTTGATAATGAATGTGAATTTTGACAAAGATGTGGTGATATAGAATGGAATACATTTAGATATTTATTTGAAATGTACATGAAACAGAGCATGTTTTATGACTTGTACATACTGAGTAAAATGTTCAGGGGGTTGTTTTTTTTTTTTTCATTTCCTAAGGGACTCATGTAACTTATACCTTGTTTGTCAATATGTGTGTTGTAATTTGCCTCCACTTTCATGCGTTCAGAAAAGAGATGCTGTAGAAGCAATTAGATATCTACCAGAGATGGCAATGCACAGTTGCTCAGCTTACCATTCTAGAAAGCGTACCACAGCAAGCAGCACACTGGCTCCTGCAGTACCTCTAAAGACCTCTTGTGTACATACTAAAGAAAAAAAAAACAACAAATCAATTGATGTCTTCTGATAATGAATGGAATAGAGTTTGATTTCTGCAGGTCCAGGAGCTAATTCAAACTCAGTAGCTGTGGCACCAGTGGAGAAGCTGAAAAGATGGTCAGCTTGGTCAGCTTCTTGTCTAGTCAATATGTCTCCCAGTATCTTTCAGAACTACATCTGGAAAGCATGTTGTGAAAGGTTGCAGAGACACTCAGTATGTGCTGCAGTTTAAAAGATACCAAAAAAGGTATCTTTTTTATCACAGTACAAAGTGAAAGTATGAGGTTTTTAAAAATCATTGAAGTGGTGTACTGCACTAGTGAACTGCATGGCTTGAATCAGTTAAAATTTTATTGGTCTCAAGCCTGAGAGTGCGTCTAAGGATCCAGATATAGACACAAGCATCTGGACTCTTCTGACTCCAGAGGCAGTTAACACACATACTGAGATCAAGCAGCTGGATCCAATGTGATTTGCTGTTATGGGCTGGGTACTTAACCAGGTCCCCCTGTCCTGGTTTCGGCAGGGATAGAGTTAATTTCCTTCCTAGTAGCTGGTACAGTGTTTTGGATTTAGGATGAGAACAAAGTTGATAACGCACCGATGTTTTAGTTGTTGCTAGGTAATGCTTACACTAGCCAAGGACTTTTCAGCTTCCC